GTAACAATATTCCCTAAAAGGCACAATCACCACGAACACGGCTAAAGGGTCAAGTACAGTAACTACAACTAACTAACGTTATAGCCTCTATGGTTGTAGCCAGAGCATATATGGCTCTGGTTGTAGCCTAGCAGAGTGGACAAGTTGCTGTTAGCTGACAGTGAGGCATGTACGTGTCCATCAAAGTGACCACGCCCTAATTTATGCATAACTTTAAAGCTTAATATTAATTAAACAGATGAGTTGAGAAAAAATTCACCCCCCACACAGTAGTCATGAAGGGGGAATCTAACTATACAGAGAATATGGTTTTTTGAACCACGATGTAAACATGTTTATTTCTGCTGTAAAGTTGGGCATTTTAACATGGGGGTCTATGGAAATTGCTCCCTTCTGCAGACTGCTCCTACTGGCCACTAGATGAACTGCAGTGTGTGGCACTTCCGTATTGGCGTCCCGGCTCTTCCCCAGAGTTTGCCGCTTGGTTTACACCATGGATGTATAATAAGAACTGGATACAGCGTGGGAGGCGGGGCCTCATTCATTCCTATGAGAGTTGCTCATTAGCGCATGATGATAAAATGGCCCAACTTTTGAGAGAGCGAAACGTCACAGATTACCCGGCATGCCTGAGAAGTACCCGTATGTGCGCTCATAGCGCATGCGCAACTTTAACCAAAATGCTTGTTCACATCAAGCACGTCAATTTGCGTACACGTAACAGCACCGCACGTTCATGACAGCATGGTAATGATTTGTTATTATGATGGATTTGATATTAACGAGGCGGCAGCTAGCGGCTAGCTAGTAATTATGCTAATGTCCACATCAATCGTTATGTACTTATATTACGCTGTAACAGGATCTAGTGATATCCAACAGAGCTTCATTTAGCATGAAAGAATGATTGCACTGTATATATATATATATATTATATATATATATATGTATATAATATATAGGCCTACATATATATATATATATATATATATATATACTTATAATAATAAGTAATATTAACTTGATTTAATACAACATTTACGGTACAAGATTTAATCATACAGCCCATGTAGTATGATAATGAATTACAGCAAACATGTGCAATATATCCATTATTACAGCTCCGTGGGATGGCAGTAAGACGATATGGGTCCGTTCGTATTGTGCATCCATGGGTAAAGATAAACGCAACTCACATTGGTTTCTCAAACAGCATCTCTGTAAACTACGTGTATTGTAGCCTATTCACTGAATTTCACTCTCTGCCTTTAACGGCTCGTTGTAGCTCCAATAGCTCCAGCCCCCACCCTCCCTGTGAGCACAGTGTGCTCTGATTGGTCGGGACACGTAACATGAACGTGCCGGGCGGCGCGGTCCCGTGGGTTAGATGCTCGTTCATAATGCAGAGGGAAATAACTCTCAGAATAACGTTATTAGCACGTTTTTACAACTTGAGGAACGAATGTTTTTAATAAGGGCTATACAAGTGTTCATACTGGGTAGTTTATTTAGTTTGAAAAAAAATATCCAACGAGTTACAGACCACTCTTTCCCCATGTAAGTCAATGGGAAAAATTGTTTCCGGGCCTGGCAACCAAATGGAAGTGTAGTACCGCCGTTTGGCCAGCACGAATATTTTCATCTGAGTCCGGCGCACTTCCTGGGAGCTTGGTTTACACTCCTCCGTTCTCTATTCACTTCCGGCAAAAGTCCCTTCAAAAATAAAAGTCCGGATCTTTTAACTATCAAAATAAAAGTACAAAACTAAAACTTTACCACATCGGCACACAAATATAACCACCTCTACAAAAGGTTAAACATATTAAAGGTCATTTACAGAGAGAGAGAGAGAGGAAGACAGCATGATCTCTGAGGAATGAGACCGGAGCGACAGGCGGTCAGCGAAACAAATTCTAGGCCAGCTGACATAGCTCATTTTTAGTATCGCCTCACAAGTTAAGACAACGGATGGGTAAGAGTTACTGGCAAAAAAACAACAGCTTACAACTCATGTATCTTCACATTCAAAAGCTGATATTAGGTTCCACCTCTAACCACAGCCTGGATAGAAAGGGCTTTAAGTCTGTATGGAAATAGACAAGAGCATCATTATCTATAGCTGACTGCTGGAACTTGTTACATCAATTCTATGCATAGCACTACATTCCCATTACGTGACTCCACTATGGGCTAGCAAAACACCAATTCACTGGATGGCAATAAACATAGTAACCTGAGTACACAGGGTACTCAAGAATCTGTCTGTCAAGTGAAAAGTTAATTTGCAATTTTATGTGCTACCAAAACAACCCCCTCTTTTCCCCACCACCCATTTTGAGGCCCCCTCCCCTCCCACCCTCCTTTAACCATTGTGAGGCCATCAGATAGTGGCTTCCAGAAGTCCACACCTGTCTCAGGGCTATGCAGAGGAGATGGATCCATGCATTTTGAGCATCAGATAGCCTCTAGCCAGGGTTAGTATTGATCTCACGCTTCACTGGCCCTTTGTGAGAGCAGCAGCTGCTTTGGGGGCCTTTTAGATAAGCAATGCAAAGGGAATTGTTTCTCCTGAAAACCTCTTTCAATGTTCTTACATGAAAACCATCACTTAATTCAACACTCCATCGCTCTGGAATAAAATGTCCTCTCCCTTGACACGAGAAGCAGCAAATAAGCATTAAAACATCTGCCTTTGGGGTATTGGAAAGCGCCTTGTATTAGAAATCACACAGTGATAATGCAGCTCCCTGGATTTTCACTGTTTAATCATATGTAATCTCTAGAGTGAAAATGAAATGAAAACACAACATGTTTTAGTATCACACAACTCTCTCCCTCAGTGTGGAGGTTGGGGTGGTGTGGGAGTGTGAGGGAGGGGGAGAGGGGCTATACTGCTGTGTGAGGTAGACATGGCAATGAGACCCTCCCTTAAATGACTCATAGGATGTATGGGCTGACACCAGCACCTCATTCACAGCCAATAATGAGCCATGCTAATGAGCAGGACAGCCACCCTGCATGCTCATCATTAAGCAGTCCCGTGATTCATGTCCAGCATGAAACCATCATATAAAGAGATAAGGTTGGCTGCAGCGGGCTAAGGTGAAATACGATAGACAAATGAAAAAGAAAAGGTTATAGGACCATAATGCATACTGTTTTTGTATATGACTGATCCATATTTCAGAAATAGTTGTATTATGAAATGAGTACCCTTTGGGGAAATTACGAAATAAATTATTCTCTTTTATACCATGGTGGAATATCAGTCTTAAATGGGGAATTTCCTGGAAATTCAACACATACATGCAGTCTATAACTGCTTGCAAATTTTTCATTTGACACCATGCTATCAGTTCATTTGAAATTACCTCCTTTCCCCACATCTGTACTGATCAGAAGATAAAATACTTCTCAAATGAATCCATCAGGAAAAAAACAGGCTGACAGTAAAACATGCATGTGCATACGCAAACCTCCTGAGACTGCTGCTCCGACACATATATCTGATAAGGGTTAATCAGCACAGGGTGGTCATGATAAAGCATTTCAGCCCTATCTCTGTCTGAGAGAGACGCAGACAGGGGGTTGCCTCTCTGCTCAAAGGGTTGAGAGGCAAGAGCGCCTCTATATCTCAGCGTTTCTCTACCTCAGTCTGCTTAGCCTTGTCTCCTTCCCCCTGTGTGCCTCTTTTACTCTTTATTTTTCCCTGCTCTCCTCTCTCTGCCTTTCCAGCCGCTTTTCTCTGTATCAGTAGAGACACTTCTTAAGCCCCAGCTGGGGAAAATACGGTGGCTTGGTGGGGGGAGGGTTTCAAAAGGGTAAGTGATTGCCCTCTAGGGGACGAAGCAGAGAGAAAAAAGCAGGACGCCTTATCGCCCCAGCCTCCAATAGCACTGCTGGCTACCACCCAGAGCCAGGGGGAGGAGGGCGGGGGCTGCAGGAGACGCCAGCTCGATGCTACATTGCCTCTTGACACAGCAAACTCAGCAGGGAGCCTTCCATCCACGCCTGGCAGTATGCGCTCAACTCAAGGCTGCACAGCCAAATGTAGCCATCTGAATGAGTGTTATTACTTTGCTTGCATGCTTTATGTTGTAGTACAAGAACATTAATCCAAATGGATAAGAAATCAAAGCATGTGTTTCTGTTCAAAATTCAGATTTATTTTTTTATAGGGAACTGGTTTTTATATTATTATACATTTGATTTTTGTGAGAAAAAAAAAATGTGTTTCTTAGAGGCAAAATGCGTGTCAGTATGGGTCTATTTGGGATGCTGCAGATGTGTTTTGGGTGCTTACACACAACACACAAGATTTACTAAGCAGAGTGTACTACTGACCTAGTTCCTTCATTCAAATGCAGGCATGGAAAGAAACAGGAAAGAACTCGTGCCAAAAAAATACTTAGCCCCTCTAAATTATCTCTGAAATGCACAAGGTATTACCACTGTTAATGATGGCATCGACTCTTCCTCTAAAGCCATTACCAGCTGCTAAAATGCATCCTTCTACAGCAGACAGGCAGGCCACCGACGCATCCACGCGCCTGCAACAGTGTCCAAGCGCCACCTTCAGTTCCCAACCTGAGGGAGGGAGAAAAAAATGACATAGCCTACATCTTTTCCTCCAGACACATCTGCACAGAGCGTCTGCCTGAGGAAGCCAATGTGTTCTTTCGTGTGTTTTTTTCTTCACTTTTTAAAATAAGACTATAGACCTGAGTCTTATGTGAGCTTTGGTGCGTGGTGTGTGTCTCAGGAGCGCAGAGTGCTAACTGTGTGTTTAATATGCCTGTCTCGCCCCGGCGTGTTGCCCCAGACACTGTGTACCACAAATCCCCACCTCCACTCCAATGAGAGCTCGGGAGGGGAGGAATAAAAGGGTTAGGGGGAGTCTTGGATGGAGTCTGCTGGGCGGAGTAGAAGGGAGCTGATTGGATGGCTGTGTGTGACGTAGTGGACGTGAAAAACCTGATAACTAGTTAAGAAGGCAGTTTGTAACTCTGGAAAAAGAGTGCAGAGCTTGAGACTATACATAACGCAGTGGACGTGGAAGAACCAGCGCAACACTCAGAGCTGAGCCGTGTTGGCTGATAGACACGGGCAGCACAAGTCCGGACACAAAGTGACTTGAAACAGAGGACAATGGTGCAGCACACAGACAACAGCGAGACGGACGGGAGCATGTCTAGGGAGGCTACCGACTCCGAGGAGAGTGAATTTATGGCATGCAGCCCCGTGCCGATAAACCCGGACTGGTGCAAGACGGCAACCGGTCACATCAAGAGACCCATGAATGCGTTTATGGTGTGGTCCAAAATCGAGAGGAGAAAGATTATGGAGCAGTCACCGGACATGCACAACGCGGAGATTTCCAAGCGCCTGGGAAAGAGGTGGAAGATGCTCAAGGACAGCGAAAAGATCCCGTTTATCAGAGAAGCAGAGAGGCTGCGGCTAAAACACATGGCTGACTATCCCGACTACAAGTACAGACCCAAGAAAAAACCAAAGCTCGACAGTTCAAAATCATCAGCACCGTCTCCGGAGAAGTGCGGTAAAATTACAAAGACTCCCAGCAAGAAGTGTTCAAAGATAAAGACTAAGATTGGCTCCAAGTCTTCTCACAGCTACAGTGAGGACTGTGTGTTTCCCAGCTTCAAAGTTACAAAGATTGTGAAAAGTGAGCTCACCGATGAGGACGATGACGACGAGTACGAAGAGGACTACCGGATGGGGATTAAGGCGAGGGACGAGGAGAGGCTGAGGCCGTACAACGTAGCCAAAGTTCCCGCGAGCCCAACTTTGAGCTCCTCGGCCGAGTCCGAGGGCACGAGCATGTACGAAGAAGTGCGGAACAACAACAGACTGTTTTATAATATCAAAAACATTACCAAGCAGAGCACATTGCACGCTGCTTCTGTCTCACCAGCATCCTCCAGGTCGGTCTCTACATCCTCCTCCTCCTCCAGCAGCTCCTCTTCCGGCGAGGAAGCGGACGATTTGCTGTTTGACTTTAGTTTAAATTTCGCCCCCAGCGCCCCAGGCTCGGAGCTGGGCAACCCCAATTCAGGAAACCTCTCCCTGTCTCTTGTGGATAAGGACCTGGACTCTTTCAGTGAGGGCAGCCTGGGCTCTCACTTTGAATTCCCAGACTATTGCACGCCAGAACTCAGTGAGATGATTGCCGGGGACTGGCTGGAGGCGAACTTTTCCGACCTGGTCTTCACATACTGAATTGAGAAAAAAAAGTTCCTCTAGTAATAACAGAGAAGGGAGAAAGTAAATTATATCTGTGTCCTGGTCAAGTTGTCCCTAGCCCTGCCTCCTGTGGGTTTTCTGAACGGTCCTGTAGGGTGGTGGAGGACCAAGAGGCGAGGTGAGGTTTGAGGAATGAGATGCTTATGAAGCTGGTAGCAAAAAAAAGCAAAGTCTGCAGACGTTTTTTTCTGGCAGCATGACAGGGTTTTATGGATTTTTTCCCAGTAGGTCTGCATTTACGGTTCAGCTTAAACGGACCACAAAGGGAAAAATACGTGAACTTCTATGCATCTTATCCTCTTAAAAACAAAACTGCAGGGAGCTTAAAACGGACTGTGGACTGACTCAAAGCAAATCTGTGAACTGACAATATGTTCAGGATGTTACTTTACAACGGTTTATGTAATTTCTAAATGCCGCAAATGTTTGTTTGTTTTTTGTAACTGATTCAGTTTACCTCCTGGTTTGGTAACTTAAGCAGCCTAAACCTCTGCAGACTACAGGTGTGGAGGAAACATTTTGATACATAACAGACCTCATCTTTTTAAAAGAAAAGTAAGATATTTTCAGGCATATTTTTGTACAGTTAAAAGGGAATGTTCTTACTGTGCTTTCAGTGAGTTTCAGGCACTTCTTCCCTTTATCATTTGTTTTTAGCATGCAAGGGAGTCCTGGTTTTAAGGATTAAGTTAAATTAAAACTTGCATCAAAAATGCCTTGTGATTTCAAACTAGGTTTTGTACAGTTGTAGAGCAGATTTGTTGAGTATTTGTAGACGATACAATGGCATCATGGGGAACACATACCTCAGAGCTGGAACTAGTTTCAAGATTGTATATGTACTGTAATATAGTAAAGTTAGGAGTTTATGTATATCATACTCGTGATATGTGGATGGGTCCCAATCGCAGGTGTGAAACTGGATTTTGGTATTTTTTATGGCACATACTGTTTTCCCCCTCTCATTTTTTTGTGCAATATATACTCTTAAGATTCAGACCATCAACAATTGTAGCAAGTGATGGAAAAACAGACTTGTGCACTGTCAACATCATTTCATGTTATGATGCTGAAGCCTGTCCAGGCAGAAAAATAAACAAATCAGCTGGAACTGATACAAAACAATATAATATGGCCTCATGGTGTGATGCATACTATATAAACAGATTGATTATCACGATTTGAATGTAATTTGACACATAATGGGCATATCTGACTCCAAACAGAATCTGACTGTAAATTAGGGGAAACAGAGTTCTGCAGAAGGGCATAGTCTGATCCAGTGGTGGTCTGGCATTAGTTTGACAAGCAAGCAAAAAAGAACATTCCATAGTCCTGTTTCATGAAATGAAACTTTATTTTAAAACTGAAGACTGCCTTCTTTTTTTAAAACATTAACCATAAACCTGTATTTTTTATTTCTTGCACTTAAAAAAAGCAGATATTGTTTATTTTTATGTGGGTCTTGGGACATATGAAGTCTGTTTGATAAAAAGGTTTTGGAATATGACCTAATTATTACCAAGACATTTTGTTGGAAGTTCTAGGCAGTAGTTACTTCACATTCCAAGTGTGAAACTGTCTTTGACTCATCTTTAGTAAATAAGTACCTACCACCATCGACTGTCCTTTCAGTTTGTGAATATATGTACACAAATGTGTTATTTGTTACGTTTGCAAACGATGTGATGACAGATTGATGCCTATTTTGTATGTAGGCAGATCATCTGTATTGGATGGGCTCAAACTAACATGTGAATTCACATTTAATAAAAAGGAAAAAAAGGAAACTTTTAAACTGCAGTGTGGAGGTGCTTTACTGACCCTGTTTTCACTGAACTTTCTTTCCCAACGACTCCTTTAAAACGGACACTACAGCTTTAAGAAATTGAATTCCCCGCTCCGCCGTGCTGAGCGATGTGATTGGTGGGCTTGGTGGTCCCCTTGGAGACGGAGCTGGAAACAGGAGCCGCCCTTCGCAGTGTGTGGGAGCTCTCAGTCTGTCTGGCTTCCATTCAGAAAAGTAGCACTCTGCCGGCACAGAACGGCGTGAGTGCTGTGTGAACAGAGGGCTGAAACTAATTCTAAATGTGACATATGTTCACTCAGGGATAAACATCAGAACTTGTTCCAAACGGATACTGTTTAAACAATGAAAATGTGTAGATTCTTCTTCAGAAACATAACTTAAATGTGAAAAATAACTAAAGATAGTCCACTAATTATTTATGTCAGTAGGGAACAGGGGTAGTAGGTCAGTGTGAATAGTAATGTTGCCTAAAGTAATGATTCCAGTGGTTGCCGGTCGCACGCCGTGCGTACAGCTTGTCTCTCTCATCGCTTAGTGCCTCATTTGCACTTGGGATTTCAGTTAAATAAAAGTAAATAGCTAGTAGGTCACAAAACAAGTAGGGAAGCAATAATGGAGGACAAGGAGTATGACATTTTATAAAGAAAAACATAAACATTTGTCAATTATAAGATGAAAAGCATAAAGGATTATGTTATTTATGCTTTTATATTATTGTCTACAATGTGTTTCTGCACCACCGGACCTGAAAGTGTAATGACACAGACTGCGCTACAATGATGTTGTCATAGGCACTGCTACTGTTTGTAAGTACTCTTATATGAAGGTGGTTTATTTATTTAAAAAAACAGATGAACTATAACACAGCACATCCCAGCCACATATGATGTCATGTAAAATACAATTAGCATAGCAAACCATTAATTTGAAGTGATAACATCTTCACAGTCTCGCCCCCAGGGAAGCACAGATGCAGCCCTTTGTCTCCTCTGAGGCCCAGTTAGAAAGACCCACCTTTAACAGATTGCATATAGAGAACCAGAGGCCTTGGCCACGGAGAGATTTGTGTTCATTACAGCAATAGAATCTAATGATGAATATTTGCCATGCATGGCTGCACAGGTACTAGCCCCCCCATTAAGTCGGTTTGCAAATCTGTAATAAAACATTTATCTAGCTATTACTTTACCTGACCTATTGGTCAAAGTTGCTAATGGGTTCTAGGGCTATTCCCAATAGAATCTCAACATTGATTTTGTGTTCCTCTGAAATATCTGCTCAGGGCTAATGCCACCGGTACATGTTGAAATGAAATTAGTGACCCGTTGAAATTTCCTTCTATTTCCTCCTTAAATAAATAAATGGAAATCTGGAATGCTCCGGAGACGCTGAGTGAGATAGCGTCCTCCCAGGGATTCAGCGAGGGGGATATTGTGGCGACAAAAGAAAGTCATTTCCAATCCCTTGAGTGTTTAAATCATTCATAGAACCCAGGATGTCACAGTCAAATGCTTTACGTGACACCTATACAAAGACCCCTGCCACAGACCTGAAGAGTGGAGGTTGATCTCTCGCTTTGCAAGTTGCTTAAATTGGACATCTAAAATATGCCAATGCTATCTGTGCTCAAAGATAAAATTCCTATGTGACCGGTCGCTGTCTAAGTCTACTGATGTTAAATCCAGTAATAATAAGACCTGTTATGTGTTTTTTTTCCGCCGCACTGAATCTAACCCAGTGAGCTCAGTTGCATTACATCATTGCTTAGCTTATGCCGCTGCGCAGTAAGATTCCATGTTGTGTCATCGCTGATCCACGTGTGCTCCTCTTCTCCCAGTGGGAGGCTGTCTAATATTGCTCTGGGAATACTGATATGTTCTCTACGATGCTGGAGGTTTCATAACAACAATAACAGCACCACTTGCCTACATTTAAACCTGTTTACTGTCTGTTAATTGACTAGTGGGCAGGATTTATGGTATCTGCTCCAGATCTGTTGTCTGGAATTGGGACGGTGTTGACACCCCTCTCTCCTGCTCTGGTACACAAGCTTGTCATGCTGTTAGGCACTGCCAGTGACAAGGTACTGAGATGACACATGGGCAATTGGTCCCTTGTGCAATAGTGAGGCCAGCGCTATGATCCAAACAGGTAAAGAAAATCTATTCGGCTATAAATATAATTTATTATCCTATGAATCCAGAAAACATGTTTAATTCTAGGATACCCTTCCTAGAAATATAAGATATAATGATCATATAAGTATGAATTCCTATAATGTTGTGTAGTTGACTATAGCTGATAGTCAGGGCAAATGTGTCTGTAAAATTGCCTGCAACAATCAAGCCCCTGTGTCCTCTGCTCCAGTCTTGGCCTGGGGCGACTCCTGCTGCTGTTGATGGCTATCCATTTGCTCTGCCCTCCCAGTGTATGGGAGGGAAACAGAGAGGGAGCATCGGCCCCATCTGCTGCACTGATATTTACTATCCCTTCACATTTGAGAGAAGGAGGGGTGGCGAAGGCCCAATTCCCTCATGGTGTTTTAGCACTCTGGCAGATGCACACACACTAGAAGGAAGTGAATGAGAGTAAAAGAAGAGGGCAAATGGATGGAGTGGAAAAGTGGTGCCTATAAACCAGAGTTAAACTTTGATTTAACTTGATGTGGCTTGGATATAAAAAAAAAAGGCGGTGTAACAGATAATAAGTGTGTAGCTGGAGGCAAGTAACCCACACAGTCTGGGGCTGCCTAATTTCCCATTCACAACTTCATTGTAGTGTTTCATTATTTAGCAAAGGCAATGAGACATTGAAGAGGAGTTTGGGTGAGAAAAGCAGACACAGCAGGTTGTCCCGAGCAGTTGAAACTGGCGGTGCTTTTGTCTCGTCGACACAGAAACAAACAGTTCAATCACTCCTCCCAGAATATGTTCTGACACGTGGTAAGATCTCACTGGGAGAAGGTCACTTTTTTTGTGGGTAGCTGCCGGAGGTCGCGCATCAGTCATGTGAATGATCTGTTAAGAGGGCAGGTACTCAGTTGCACACCTGCTTCTTTTTTCAATCCCAACTCTAGAGTATTGTTTTAATTGAATGGAGTTTCCTGGGTGACATTTTGCAAGTGTAGGGTTCAATATGTGCTATGTGCACCACTCAATGTTTGAGAGAAAATAAATTGAGCCCTTTCGATTTGAAAAATGCCACAATAATGGGCTCAGTGTAATTAGATCCAACTTGCAATGACATCTAGCTCTGTTTAGAGAGCAATCCCGCAAGTTGGTTGGCCTGATTGCGGTGAGTTTAGGATTTACATAACCTTGTTTGGAATTAATTGTGCCTGTATGCCAGATATTTATCTTAGAGCTTTACAGCAGCTGCAGGAGGGAGTCCCTTGCTCTTTCCAATAAGAAAAAAGGGCATAATCCTACTATATTAGTCCAACAGGGTCATAATGGGTCATAATATACGCAGCGTGTTAGAAGTAAATCACATTTTAATCCACATTAGAGTAAGGGTGTGTGTTTTTATCAAGTCGCAATCATTTAGTTTAGTTTTATAGCCTCAGATAATCCGGTGGTCCATATGTGTTTATATGCGGTTGTTGACCAGATAATGGTGTTGCCCTCTAATCAAATGGAGTGTATTATTAGAGCGCACTGCTCTCTTATTGCATGTGTGTAGCTGCTGAGGAATAGTCTGTTTGGCTTTTTGCCCAGATGCATGGATTTAAGAGCAGCGTTACCCCCTCCCCCGGTTTTTTGGAGTCAGAGATTTTGCATGTGTGAGTCTGTGTATGTGGCTGTTTGTTTGTAAGCTTATATAATTTGCTTGTTTTGGGGGGCTATCGGGTATTTATCATAGACCAGTATACTGGTTCTAACCATTGAGTGTGCTGGTTCTGATAAAAGCACAGACACACCATGGTATAGTAGTTGTAATACAACTCAGTTAAGGAGAATGGCTTTACTCCTCTGCAAGTCTTCAATTTAATGATACCAACAACAGACATTCATGACCCCCTGCCTCCCCACCCCAGGATTAAGTCAGGCAGTAATCTAGATTCAAACTGCAGCTCAGGGGGGAGCCCATGCAATTTCCCCCTAAAGCTAGAGCAGAGCCAGCAGTTGGTCATTCATATGCATCTGAAATCTAATACTCTGCTGCTGTGCCCCTCCGTGGCCCCACCTTTCCTGACTCACCAGTGAACCTCGACTCCTCCAATGCACTCTGACCATTATGCTGTGTTTCCTCCCTCGCTCTCTCTCACTCTTTCTTGCCCTCCCCCTCTCTCCCTCCATTTGCATGTAACCCAGGTTACACTGTCAGGGTCCCCCCTCACAGTTAGACTCGACGCAGGGTCTCATTTGATAGTCTTTGCTGCTTCAGTAAATAATTAGCACACTGAATCCTCTAGGGCCCTATGCAGGAAGCATGGCTGGCTTACCAGGGGGGCTAAGGTTCTAATGATTGCTATCCTGCAAGGTTTTTGATAGCGGGCCCCCTGCCTCCTACTCAACACTGTCTACGTGAAAAAAACATTGCACATACTCTTCTAGAATTAATTATGAATGTGAATGGGGAAAAGCTAAACAGACTTGATTTAATTTGTGATATTTTTCAGCTTTAGTGTACAATAAAATGCTCTGTTTTTGGCTCTGTGAGTTTGTGCAAGCTGATGAGAGAATAATTCTTGAAAACAGATGTTTTTAGGTGCTTTGTTGAACTAAATGCGATTATGTGCTGCAATCAGTCAAGTTGAAATGTTGATATACTTTTCTAGTCACTGAGAGAGTAAAACATCTTTTAACACCAACATACTGTGTAATGCATTATAGTGGATGTTCAGCAGTCAAATACAACATTTATTTCAAATCATAGCATCAGTGTCAAGCTTCACTCTACTGAATACATGTGTTATTCTGGTAAAGCAATACATATTTTACCAAACCAGAAACAATTGCCAGATGTGTATGTGACCTCACTAATTA